CCCGTCCAAGCCGTGCCCAGCAGCTTCTCCAAGAGGAAGCTGTGGCAGACGGTGTCCAAGGCCTCACTCAAGTCCAGGCAGACAACGTCCACAGCCTTCCCCTCGTCCACCAAGCAGCTCACCTCCTCACAAAAGGAGATGAGCAACTCGAGCACCTACCAGTATCTGGGTGCTAAAAACCCAAGCTTTTCACCCCAGGAAAGGCAGACCTGTTGTCGAGATCCCTCAGGTCATAAAACCAACACCCAGCTTTCCTTATTTTGTCTCACAGTTGCCAGGAGGGCCACGCACCGCGACACCAGCACCATCAGGTTGTTCTCCTTGTCGACGCTGTACCGCCGGACGTAGACGTAGTCCCGCGAATACATGGGGTACTGGGGGAGAGAAATAACCTGGGAATCTGGGAAAAGGGGCAGCGATCCCATGGGATGTGCAGCCAGGAGGAACTGCTCACCGGGAAATGTGTGACCCAGTGGATCACCTCGGAGCCCGTGGCCAGGTCCCGCTCGATGACGTCCAGTTTAATGACCAGCGAGTCCCATTTCTTCCGGTATTCGGTGTCCAGCTGGCGGGAGAGAGAAGCTGAGTGATGGCAAAAAGCTGGCAGTGTGGGGAAACAAAGGAAACGGGGCCTTTTCCTCACGTCCTGGAAATGACCGGGTGGTTTTGCAACCAGGAAATCATTAAATACGCCTGAAATGCCCCAAAAATGGGTGGGTGGGAGCAGAAACCTGGAGCCACCAGGTACCAATCCTTATTTCCAACAGCAAAAGCCCATCAGGGCATGGGATACATGGGTCTAAATCACATAAATGATGTAAAGAAGAGAATATTCCCCATTTTGGGTGTCCCAGCATCCCAGGGGTTGCTCTTGACTCCCAACGCCCCCAGCCCCAATTTGAAGGGCGCTCACCTGCACGTTGAAGAACTGCCTGGGTGTTACGTCCGTGTACGACCCAAACACTGCGGGAAAGAGGAAACGGGCATGAAATAATGAGATTTGATTTATTTAAGACAAAAGGAAAAGCAACATGAAAAGGAAAAGGGGCAAGGGGCAGGGCTGGGACCCCTCTGAGGGGCTATGGGGGGGCAGAGGAGGAAGGAAAGGTTGATAATTGCCATTTCTTCCCCAATTTCCTACAAACACAGGCCAGGCACAAGGCACAACCCCCCCCAGGGCTCAGCCCAGGCTACAGTGGGTTACTGGGAGCCCCGGTACCTCGGTACTGGTACAAATGGGTGCCCTCGATGGGTCGCCGCCACAGCTTGAAGTGCTTCTTGTCCATGATCATCTCCCAGGGCTGCTCCCCGGGGCGCGGGGCTTTGGGGTCGGGGCGCGGGTGCTCGCCCTGCACCAGGCTGGAGACGCTCTCCATGTGCTTCATCTCCTGAGCAGACCTAAGGGAGACCAACAAATGACCAAAACAACCCCAAACCCGCGTCACCAAAGCCTCCTCGGAGCCTTTCTGCCCCTCTGAGACCAGGAAAACCTTCCCAGAGGGGATTTTGGGGTGGGAAAAGCAGCCTAGGACCCTCCCCTCGCAGCCTTTTCCTTTCATCCCCAAGGTTTTGTGCGTATAATTCTACACAGAATTTTGTTTCCTGGTTGAAACAGATGGATTTAAGGGAAAAAAGGGGGGTTTTTTTTGGATTGAAGGGGGTGGATTTGTGTGCAGGACGGAGATTTGGGGCACAACGGGAAGGAGAGGGGGGTCCATGGGGGTGGGATCGCTCACGAGAGCCCATTTTGGGCAGGAAAAGAGGGAAGGAGATGGAGGAAGCGGGGGCTTCCCAAAACCTGACCACAACCTCCCCATTTTTAGCACCATTCGCCTACAGAAATGGAAACTGGATTCAGATTTGGGGTCTCAAATATGGGGGGGGGACAGAGAAGAGGGGCAGGAAAAGCCCCCACTGCTGGGCCAGACCCCAAAAGCCGCCCCCCCAAAATGAAGCCCGAGGGAGCAGCTCTGGTTTATTCCCACCCGGAGGACGGCAGCGCTCCCAGCCCTGCCCCGAGACGTTGATTACATTGAAGTAATTAGCGTCGTTACTAATTAAAGCACCCAATCAGTGACCTGCAAGGCAGGCCTCGCTGGTCCGCCCAAATTCGAGCTCCCAAAGCGCCTGGGGCTGCCCCGAAAGCTTCGCAGCTCAAATGTGATCCAGAAATGCTCCTTTCGTGAGGTCTGGGGGGGCTCAGGTGCAGCGAGACCCCCCAAAAAACCCCCAAAACCCCTTAAACTCATGGTAACAATGAACGAAAGGCTTTGCTGAGGACTTTTGTCGCTCCTGGACTGAAGCCACAGGGGAGTAAATGATGAAAGGAAGAAGAGGAAAGTTAATAATAATAATTAATAAAAGTAAATAATATGAACAGAATAGTAATGATAATGAGTCTGGCAAAGCCAACTGCGCTCGAGGGGTCCTTAAATCAAGGCTCAAGCAACCTTGAACAAGAAAGCAGCGACTCCACACTTAATCCCAGGCCTAAGCCGGGCCCTGCTGAGCCCAGCGGGTTCGATCTGCCAGGACCCGAAGGCCACAACAACGCGACTGCTTCCTTTATTTTAGGGGATTTATTCCCTTTCGGTAGGGAACAAACCCAGGATTTGGGCGCACGTAAAAGCCGGGGACGTCTCCAAAATGTTTCAGTGTCGGAAATGAGGGCGTGGGGGTCGCTTCCTCGTGAGCTG